GAGAAGGTTGCAGAGAATGCGAAACGATACAAAGCAGCAGAACCTGACAGTTTTTCACCTGAAATTCTCAAAGATGAAGGTAAGAAATTAGTGGTTACAGTGACGAAGGTAGTAGGTAGTGTATGGGAATGAGAAGTAGTGCTGTCAGACTGGTCTCTTCTGGTCATCCTGAAAGAAAGGGTAGAGATTTCCTTGTGGCAAGCACAGGGGAATCAGTTTGACTGGTGTTGTTTCCAAGATACTCAGGTCCATAGTTATTCGACGCCTAACTGGAGCTCGAAAACAGTCAACTCAATGAATCTAGGTACATTTCAAAAATGGCCGAGGACGCATAGATCAAACTTTTTCCCCCTTCGACAGGTTCTGGAACACACGCATACCTACCAATGGTGCAGAAACAGGATGTGGAATAATAACAATAATTAGAAGGAAGTTCTTGTGAGTAAAATGATCGGGAACAATATGCCTACTGAATGTGAAGTAAACAACACCTGTCAACCTAGTGAAGCTGGAAGCCCTGAATGCCTGTGAGCCACCATATTTCCCTGTAAACTATCACTTATTTATTAACATCTTATTTATGCCTTACATATCCTTTCAGTGAACGTCAAATTATCTGACATCGCAGCCGGAAGTTAATCGGCCTGTCTGAATTCAGCTCTCTCCCGACTCCATGTTAGGTTTGTTTATTTATTTATAACACAGTATCACCTGCTTGATGACGTTTCGGTTATAAATTATTACTCATAATCATATCACCATAATCATACCACCTTCAGCAGTCGACTTTTGTTGTCCTGTCACTTCATATTCTTTGTTTTTATTGGTAGGAAGATTTTCCAGAGCTCTGGTATAGGTGTTGAATCATAACTATTAAATGTGTTGGTTCGATGAACAAAGACTCAGTGATCAATTCCTCTCTGTACTTGAGTCAAATATAATTAGGTGGAGAAAGAGGTTGACTACTGAATCTTTGTTCATCGAACCAACACATTTAATAGTTATGATTCAACACCTATACCAGAGCTCTGGAAAATTTTCCTACCAATAAAAACAAAGAATATGAAGTGACAGGACAACAAAAGTCGACTGCTGAAGGTGGTATGATTATGAGTAATAATTTGTAACCGAAACATCATCAAGCAAATGATACTGTATCACTGTGTTATAAATCAAATAAACAAATTTAGTGTGGAATTCCATGCTACCAGTTTTACACGGATATCAACTTCTCCCTTGACCTTCTTCGTTAGTGTTTATAAATATTATCTTCCAGTTTGTAGGATGAATACTATACTCTTTTATTGGACACGGCTACGCAACGTCACCAATTATCCATTATTGACACAAATAAGGTTAGGCAGTTACGGACCACTGACATCGAAAAAGAAATGTTGTTAACCGAATTGTGTTTCCTTTATAATTATATGCATCCCTATTTATAAATTATCTGCAAGCAATAAAACAAAAGCTGGAAGCAACAACCAGAGTAAAGTAGAATTACTGTTACTAAGTTAACGAACTGAATAATTCATCTAACTGTAAAATACGTGCCTAACTAAACTATCAAGTACAATCTTATATTCATATGAACTGTGATCAAGACTCAACGTTGAATACGTCTTACATTCATAAATACCCCGATAAGTTTGCAATGAAATCATTTCGAGGTTTCACACAAAAGTCTGACCAAAGCTTATTCAAGAAAATAATCGAAATATTATATGAGATTTGTACACCAAATTTTCAGCTTTAGAATGCAGTTGTGAAATAATCTATTTCTGGTAACAACAATAAATACAATAAGAAGCTAGATTATAATGGTGAAATAAGAGACTGTCAAACAGATATAAAACCTCAGTTATAATTGCATTAGACAGCCAAACCGATCACTAAGACTGGAATTAGTGTGATACGAAGGTAGGGTCAGACAAAAAGGAAAGCAGATAACTGGTTAGTTTTTGTACTTACGAATTATGCTGGTAACGCCAAATGGACCTATATCATAGAGTTCAAGTCTTATAAATGTTGCGATTGACTCCTTGACCCTTATGGACTCCACAGAAAGAGTCCGTACTTCCCTACTCTCTCACACTAGTGTGATGATTCTATATATTGCTTCCGTAACTCAGCATGGGCACCTTTTAGCTTTCCTCAAAACTAACCCGACTGCAGTGTGAAGTGGATATGAAGAAATAGTCCTGCTCAGAATAACGCAATGAAAGACACTTAGAATAAAGATTTTGGAATCGTGTATTTCGGTGTTCTGCACAATAAACCAACCGCATGAACCTGAAATCTCAAGTAGTAAACGAGGTCACGTTTTAAGGTTCCGTTTGTATTCAACTGATTGGTACGTAACCAAAAACAATTCGAAAGAAAAAAGGATCAATAATTAAACAAGTGAATAGGAGGAGCAGATTATTTCAGTAACTCGACAAAGTTACTCTAACATATTATTAGCATACCATATACTCCAGAAAACTGGACACTGCACCTGTACGCATGCGTAAGGAGGTGAAAATTTCTATTGTAGACCAATGATACATAAATACACTTCCAAGGATTAATTTAGACTACACCTGCATTATGGTATCAAATAAACAACTAATTGTACGTGCAATAACTGCAATGCAAAAACCAAGAAGTTGAGCAAAGAGGATTCTCCCAACAAATTTATTCTCGAGCTCCATATTCAAACTTGCATATATTGCATAAAAACTTCAGTCTGTGAGTAAATTTAAATAATAGTTGGTAGGAACTACAATGATACATGTGTGAAAATCGAATTTGGGTACTGTGGCAAAATCTAATCCCAAAATAGGTCTTTTCCTATATATATATATATATATATATATATATATATATATATATATATATATATATATATATATATATATATATATATATATATATAACATCTACTAACGAGGTTTCGAACAGGATTTATTGGACATAATCGTATCAAGGTGGTTATCCGCATAATAATATTGCCAGTTGAAGACGTAGAGTTTTATTGATAACCGAGAAGAAAGGTTACGTAGGATTTTGAGATTATTCATAAGCTGTAAAGGGGTGAAAATACAGTAGAGTTAATAAACAAACAAAAGATTAGGTATTCGTACTGGGTGATGACTAAAGGTGAGATGAAAATCTGGACCGCAGCCATACCGTCCCATATCCTGGCAGTTCAGTAGGGCGGAATCACCCACCACTCCTGCCATAGACTAACAATAAACGCTCCAACGGTAACTGCTCTACGTCTTGTCACTATCAACAAATCCTTCCGGAATGGTATGACCCCAATAGAACACGCTTCCGAGCAGGTGTACCTGGTTGTGCTACGCAAACCCCACCAACACGTCCGGGAAGTAGCTGTCAGTCAGCCCTTAATGAATCATCGGATATGACGTCGACAAGACAGGTAGCGTAATTCGGCCACATCTTGTAGAAACATCAATCAAGCCTTCTTGTATTGATGTCACCGGTCACCACTTCATCGAGGCTAACCCAAATATCCAAGCGAGATAAATAGTCAGTGCACTGAACCACATGAGCCCCAATTGGAAGACGAGGTGCCAACAGAAACCAGTCTTTGAGAAACACTTGGTATCTGAGTAGTGAGAAGCACTTCCCAAATATTGTCACACGGTCACTAATCATGCTGATAAGATTGCATCTGTCAGCACCTTTATCTAACAGGACAGTGTCACTTGTGAGCTCTAGGTCTACTAAGGTGTTTCATGTGACTAGTTCAGTCACAATGATCAGAAGCAGACAGGGTGACCACCATATTTATGTATGTGATAAAGTTAGGTAAGAATGGAGAAAGTGGACATCCTCTATGAACATCATTCGATGTGCACAGTCAAATTAGTATCTCACAACAGGCTATTATATGCCAAAAGGCATTCGAATGCAGACCCTTTCAACTGGGTGATGTAAATAGCCGCCAAAATTTTCCGTGACAGACGCTGCCAGAAGACAATTTGATCGGTAGAGTTGGAGGCTGCCTTCAGGTAAAGAAATACAACAAATATTGAGAGCACGTAAGTCTGAGTATTTTTCAGAATGTAGTCAGAAAAAAAACTATGGTCAAGAAAACCATGAGAAATTGTGAAATCGACCGGAATTATATGAGTTACCTACGTCACGTAACGAGATGATAGCGAAAAAAAGGAACCAAGTGCAGTGAGAGTCAAAACCCTCAAAGCAAAGTAGAAAGGAACACACGGACGAATAGGAGGAGGCTTCAATCGAAATCAGCATTCTAAGTCACCGGCCTCTAAGGCAGAAGATTTGGATTTCGACCTTGTTTCATGTTACTGTGTCGTCAGGAAAAGCCTTATGGAACAACTTTGTCTTTCAGCTGACTAATGAAAATACGTATCCAACTTCTCACTTAGTAGCTTTATTTCCTAAGGAAAAACTGTACATAACTGGCGTGCTTTTTGTCAAATAACGTTGTCTTCCTTACAGTCTAAGACCGGTCGTTGTGTTCTGATTTTCCCGACCCACTGGAGTGTCAGGTTTGAGGGAGAACAGTTGGTATTCGTATACAGTCCATGTACCCCATTAGGTTGGTAGCATGCCAGTTATATTCTTAGTCACTTCAAAGGTGAAATACTGTCTAATGTAGTGTGGATGATTACAACGGAAAATTAGTCAAACGCAGAGAACTTTGAAGGTAAATGGAATATAGGTGACTGGTAGGCGGCAAACACAACACAGAAGTATGCAAATGTTTGCAAAGTAGAAATTTTTCCTCATTTGGGGTTATATTTAGCTGAACCTCGCCGTTGATTTCAGTTTTCTGAGACCGAAACGAGTGGGTCTACAGCCTACTACTAGGAATCTGAGAAAAAATATAGCTTGAAATTCGCCACCGAATGAAATACGAAGACGAATCAATTAAGTGGATAATAATTCCCGGGAATTAGGACTACTATTCAACCAAGAGGGAACAAAAATGCTAGTAAATGTGAACGTAAAGAACTTTATTATACTGTTTTCTGTACATAGATCAAAACGAATTGGAGACACTGAACGCCCATCATTGATTGCATATACCTGAAAAATTAAGGTGACATTAGGTAAATATGGTTGATAATTAGGCCCATATATATATATATATATATATATATATATATATATATATATATATATATATATATATATATATATATATATAAGTGCACATACAAGCACAATTACTCAAATACCTAAGTCCTTCAACTATTTTCACAGATACTTCGTCAGAAGTGAGATAAGTATGGTTCTTATCAGTGCTGCGAAGGCATTTCGCGCTTTAACAGTTCCAATTGCATATCATGCCTACTAACCATTAAAGAAGTAGGGTAAAGGTATAAACACGTCATAAAAAAATAATTGATAAATATCGGAAAATGTGTCCGAAAGGTAATGAGGACGTCAGTTTTTGTAGCACTCACTGGTGACACATCTAGTTAATGACCGATGATGGAACAGTAACATAAATTAAAATGCTTTTATTATCAAAATGATTTAAATAAAAATAGTACATAATAAGTAGCAGAAAGCTAGTGATGACTTACAAAACTAACGACAACAACTAAATTATCGGGAAACTTACATTATCAAGCTATTTATGATGACGGCTGCTTGAACTGTATGTTCGCGACCTCCACTGAGAGACGGTCCCTGATGTGAAGGACCTCGACCATCTACTTGCTGGTGCCGCTGCTTGACACCGGAATGAGCCACAGAAGTTTGAAGCGGTCTTCTGCATTGTGCCGGAGGCTCGCGGGCAAAGTTTCGAGGAGAGCGGGAATTCGTACGTTCTCTGTGACGAGGAGATATGTACGGTGGTGGACGGTGACGATAAGAATCTGAATCCAATTCCGCTCGTCTGTCTTTAGATAAAGGAATATTTCGTCCCGAAGGAGATCGAGACCTGGAGTAGGATGATGAACCTCGGTAATATTCACGATGACGGCCGTGTGGATAAGGTGGACTGTATGAGCAGCTACGACTAGGACTGCGCGAGTAGTTGTGATCATATCCTCCAGCTCTTGGGCGGGAACCAATCCCTCGCAAAAATGCATCAACTTTTTCTTCATACTGATAAAAACAAGCAAAAGAGTTGGACTAAAATTCTCCTTTCGATTTAGAATACTACTCAGTTAATCAGTTGAAATCAACGTGAGATCTGAAAATTTTGCTTAACGGTACAAGTGACCCCATACTTCACATCTGAGAACCCAGATAAAAGGCAACAAGATGAAGAGATAGATAAGAATGTAATCAGAGGTCGTAGAAAAGAGGAATCGGCCACAAAATAGATTGCGAAATGTGATATGACGACTAAAGTAAAGATAATGGGTAGGGGTATTAACGTGTCAATGGTATCGAGTCCGTCCACATAGCTTAGAATCTCCAACCCTGATTTCACTTGCTGTGTGGACCCTAATCGTGAGGTCTACATTTTTCCGTAAAGGCCTGAGTAGCAGTCACAGACTCTATGAACTGATGTCACGTTTTAGTCCGGCTCTAGAATTGGGCTGCACCCGACTATATAGTATTAGTCAAGCATGACTATAGTTTTAAACCTCACGAGAACAGAAAAGGTCGAAAAGCACTATATTTTTATCCATGTTTCATCAGCTGACAGATATTGTTGCTTTCTTAAATTGACTGGAATGTCTGAGGATTAAAGACTCGGTGAATAGCTATATAACAAGTAAATAGTTGCACTGAGTAACTCCAGTATACCCATGTGGTTGTCGTTACCTCAAAAACATACTTTTCATGAAATCCTAAAGTATTTAGTGACGATTTTGATGAGAAAGGACTCAATAATGTCATATATTTCAAGTATGACGCTACAATATCAAAAGATCTCCTTACGTACGACGTCATGCCTTGGATCGGATTAGGAATTATGGTCAGTGTGGAGTCTACGTTTCCGAATATGAAAACTGGTAACCTAATATGAATGAACACACTTGATAAGGCCGTAAATGAGTCAAGTGTACATTTGTTCCATGGCGCTAGTTTGACACAGCAGCATTAAAAACTTAAGAACTGTTTGTTAGTTTAAATCCCGTTTGGCTACCATAGTAGTGTCTCCCTTGTTTTCTGTATTGATAACAGTTTTATTTTGAAAGATATTTCGAGGATACTGTACGGAATTGTCAGCATGTCTTATAGCATCATTTGCACAGAAATAGTTCATATATATACATTACATATGAAAGATATGAATATTTACTCAATCTACTTCCTTGAAAATGCAGGGTTAACTTAGGTAAACAATCACATTAGCGATTAGATTCGTAATACTTAAATATTAAAGTCATGTACTGTTTAATTAGTTTGATTTCAAAACAGAAGTCCGTTCGTTTCTAACGCTTCTTTTTTTGTACAGAATACGAGCTAAATGCGGTATTGTAGAGATTTAGCAGTACATGCATAAAGTCTTATATAATTTATCTTGCTTAACGACAGACATACAGAGAGCTTCAAAGAAAGATGCTGGTCACCTGGAGTAATAAATCCTGTCAGAAATTTATATGAGTTAAGATGTCTGTCCACAACTATTTTAATTAGAAGGCTGAGGTACACCATTAGTTTTGCTGACAATCTTCAAAGTTCTACGCAACTTAGCACAGTCTTTTTCCAGCAACCGAGGAAAGGATAAAGGGGAACAATAAAGAATAGGTAAGATGCAAGCGTTTATAACACAGGAGAAGAGGCTGAGTTGTACCGGAAACTCTCAGCTTCTTAATATAGGAAATTAGGCGGAAAATTCTTTTGGAAATTATTCAGATATGAGACGACCCGGAAAGGTCTGAAGAAAAACACACCAAGATAAATCACACTTGTAACATTCTCTAATATACAACCATCAACAGAATAGAAATCATGAGACTAAAGCGGTTTACATAGATTCATGTCTGAAACTAAGTTCTATAGTCTGACATTTCGAAGAATTAAGCTAATGACCATACACAGAGACCCATCATCTATCAGTATATAGGAACAATCTGTTGAAGAGGAGATATGTGTAGAAACTGTTAGGTCATCAGCATATTTGATTAAATTGATACTAGCTGAAAATGGTAAGTCATAGAAAAAAAGAGAAAAGACCAAGGTAGAGGATGGCATCTTGGGGGGACAGTAGCCTCAGCAAGCAGTGAGGTGAACAGTATATTTCTTTCCAGAGAAATAGGAATACAGCGAGCTGATTATCCAGGACTCAGTATCCGTCCCATCTAGCTTGTCCAGTAAAAGATATCTTGGGACAGAATCAAATGCTGAAGTATGCTCAGAAAAGGCACATCTGGTATTTCTATCAAGATAAGAAGCAATAGTGTGATGGCATCTAGAGTGCTTCTTTTGCTTTTGCACGCGAATTCATTAGGATCTCCAAAAACCTTTATTGAGAGTTTAAGCACAGGTATTATTAGCTTCGCCAATATTTTTAAGAACGGAGAAGTAACAGCAACCAGACGGAACTTTAGAAATGCGCCTATTTAAAAACACCGGAAGAACAGTGGCAGGGGCAACGTTGACCACTTGAGGAAACATCCCTACCTATAAAGCTCCCTCCTGGATGAGGATTAATGACAACCAACTGTATTTGGAATCCGTAGTCCCCGTAGGATGTGTACAGAGAAAACGTAAAATGTAACACAACTTTAGGAATAAGATACACAAATAATGATAACATCTGACTGCTTGAAAATTGCTAAGTTTTGAGGACTTGAATCAATAAATACTCGATTGAACCAAGGGTGTGAGAATTCAGTTTGTTGTGTAGTGGAAGACATGAAAAAACCTAAAAAAAACACTAGATTTGACCTATAGGATCGTTTATTCTGTGATAGCTGGATGTGGAATTCAGAGGTACGACTTTTACAAGCATCACTGTAATAAGTCACATTTATGAACATCCCCATGGATCGGCTAGCGAATTTGATTATTAAATCAAACAAACATTAACTTTTTTCAAAAGAACTCACTCTTAGGTCGTTTTCATGACTTTGAACATTTTGTGGATAAGCACTTGAACCCCCTGCACGTGTACCCTGAAATGCAATTAATCACTGACGATAATTTTTAACCAATTTTATGCACATATCACCATAGCGAACAATTTTTCATGAACAGATACTACAATCAAGCAAATTCTGGTAACTGGGTCATTTAAAAATAGATAACTTGCGACAAAAAGCATTTAGATAATTTCCCAGTATGATAATAAGTGAAATCTTTTAAAAACTAACAAAATTAACCACTTTAAACACTAAACTTCTATGGTACTCAGGAAGAAACAAAAAATGAAGACAGTTGGAAGTGTATCGTGGAATAATTCACGAAATTTTCGGACAGCAATCCGACGAAATAAGATTCCCCTTTATAAAGCAAGGACTAAAGTGTACCATTCTGATTGAAGCGGAATTACATTTCACCTTTCACCAAAGCGCTAAAGTTCTACTCTGATATTAATGAAATTACATTCAACGACACAAAATATGGAAATTACAAAGATCCAACCAAAGTTTTCAAAAAGTTTTAAAATGATGAGGTGAATAAGTCTACGTATGAGAATCAGTAGGTCATAGGAAAAAACCTGAACTAATCCACCTAAGTTTAAAGAGGTAGGCAGCGTTTACGTATTAGATTTGCTAGTTATGTAGCACAAAAGGTATTATTAACTAGATTACGTTTTAATTACAAACGAGTGCTCAGACTACAACTTTGAGAAATAATCTGTACGAAAAACAGCATCCGCAGAGAACAATGTTGTATCATTATGTGGCATCAAGCAAAAAATTAATGTGGAATGACATTCTACACCAGAGCTCGTGTTTTACTCTTTCAATAGCTAGGTAGTAACACCAGTCTTCATGATGTGCGGTTCACTGCTTAGTGCGCAAAATATCACGTGACTACTGAGCCAAGTCATTGACTTTTACATAGGACAAAACACTTATCTTCTTTTAAATTGCAACTTAGAAATATTCACATCGGAAATATATGTTGAAGAAAACATACCAATCCAGGGTGAATGTTTGGTCGCATGCCACGACTAACCTGCTGGACGTAGTCATCATAATCCTGTAGAGAAAATTAAATATAAGAAATGAGAATTTGACTACATACCCAAGTCATTAATAAATTACGGTCAATGGGTAGGGAACTGGATCGACTACGACTTCTATGTCCTCTAGACCCTAAAAAATGAAAAGTATGAAAAAATTATTTGAAACAGTATAATTACAAGCAGATTTCTTGAGTAATTGAATAGAAAAATAATTACTAATAGATTCATTTTTATGCCAAATAACAGAATGCATGTGATGAGAGTTCTTAAGATACTAAGGGTCATCGAATAGAGAGAAAAAATATATATATGACGAATACCAACTTGAAATATATATATACCAAATACTTATGATTGCAGAAACAGCAAACTTAAAATTTTATCGATAACCTGTTTCAACAAGGATGATTAATAATGAATGTTCACAGAAAGAGAATCAAGATTTACTTGAGGAAAATATAACGAGGATGCGAAGAATTTGAACACGGCAACATTCTCTAGATCCGTCAAAATAGATTTACCTAGCTTGTGCGTACATTCATCCAGTAGGCAGAGTGCCACATCTAGTGCATGAGGCCTAATGATGCTACTTGGCTATCCAAAACGAGAGAGGTGTAGTGGAGTTCGAACCCAAGACCAATTGGATGGGAAGCAGGCGACTTAAAAGTGATCCATAGCTCTATATCAGTAGTGGGATAATTCGTGACTCTACATCTCTATACTGTCATAAGAATAACCAGTCTTTTGACAGTGCCTTACTCTGAAAATGATGGTGGATATGTACATCACCCAGTTGAAGGCTCTGCATTCGAATGCCTTTTGGCATATAATAAGTGCTGACAGATGCAATCTTATCAGCATGATTAGTGACCGTGTGACAATATTTGGGAAGTGCTTTTCACTACTCAGATACCAAGTGTTTCTCAAAGACTGGTTTCTGTTGGCACCTCGTCTTCCAATTGGGGCTCATGTGGTTCAGTGCACTGACTATTTATCTCGCTTGGATATTTGGGTTAGCCTCGATGAAGTGGTGACCGGTGACATCAATACAAGAAGGCTTGATTGATGTTTCTACAAGATGTGGCCGAATTACGCTATCTGTTAAGTCGACACCATTTGCAATAGCTTATTAGGAGTCGAGAGAGCTGCGCTTCTGTCAACTGTATGGCTGGAAAACATCACTGTTTAAAGGAGGGAATACAAGAAGGCTTCAGGTGTCCCACCGCCGCTATTCACTTTGCATGGGTCATAGTGCCACCACCACTGGCGATGATGACATCAGTAGTTTAGAGGTCAGGTGTAGTATAAAGGAAGAGGTGAGCTACCTGATCTAGTTTTGAACCATCGTCGATTCAGAAAGCTAGGAAACGCGTGAAGCATGCTGACCGACTGACTAGGAGTGGGCCAATGAACAGTCAAAATTACGCAGGGTTTTATGCAGCAGCACATCTATTACATGCAAATAAAAATGGTGACAGTAAACAACGTTGTTTGACATCAGCAGATGTGTGAGTCCCAGTAGAGAACTAATTAACGTAGTATACTTCCATATTTTCTTCGTATTCAAATGCTACTATGAAACCTCTCGGTCGAATTCCGCTTTAGGTAAAGTATGGCAATTTTCAGACACTGGTAACCATGTCTGCGTTCCCATGTGTCAAAGAGTGAAGTTTTGAAAGACTGTTGTTAAGGTTTCAAATCTAACTATTTTGCTCTAGCATCGGTCACGTGTCGTATGACGATGGATATTAGTATCTTCGATACGACTACAGAAATGAGTAGTAGAATCCATACAGAAATAGGAGTGGGTGATGCCTAAAGCTTTCAAGCAGTTTTACACGAGTTTCGACCCAGAGCACCACCTTCAGATGTTTGAATAACTGGACAGTGCCATCACCAGTCTACCAAATACGTTTTTCTCATATAATACTCCGCAAAACGGTATCAATAACTACATGGGGTTTCAGGATTAATTCAAGGCAACAAATTGTACTCGAAACGTTGTGCAGTGGACAATTTAGTTCCACTGTTATATTAAATAAACTTATTTAGTGTAATACATTTATATATATATATATATATATATATATATATATATATATATATATATATATATATATTACATATACATCAATAGCTGTCTACGCTCGATAATGAAGATCAGATGGTCAGAATAGTAAGAACAAGCAACAAGGAACTCTGGCAACGAACCAACCAAGAACCTATCACTGAGCAAATATGCAGAAGAAAGTGAAGATGAATAAGGTCGGGCATACACTCAGAAGACTGTTGAGGACATCACGCACCAGGCCCTCGAGTGGAATCCAAAGGGGAAATGACGAGTTGAGCGTTCCAGCTGAGGGTTACATGGGGGAGATCATGTAAGGAGGAAATGAAAGGTTGTCGGCAGTCGTGGCGCCAGGTTTAAAAGACCACAGAGAAGAGAGTGCAATGGAGGCGTGCCACTGAAGCCCTATGTCCCATTAGGAACCCAGGGGAAAAATAATAAATAATAATGATAATGGTGTCACCAGCCTTCACACGTGTAGTTTATTGCCTAGTGCATGGAAATACAACTGGTTTCCGAGGGACCTTAGTTTTCGAATTCACCGTACACGGTGAAGTATTGGGAGAAAGAAGAAAGTTTATTTGTTGCTTTATTAATGCTGATATTGTGACACACAATGGTTCTAAACACAACACATTTTCAATATGATAATCCAGGTTATTCTTAGGACCGCTACGATTTTAGTCGGACTGTAAAATATCGGTTGTACAATAAATCGATTTCAAACACTTCTGTCCTCGCTTACTGAACACAGCCTCTTCAACTTGGTGGTTTCTGAGAACTGTACTCGTTAACCAGTCTTTGTTGAACTGCTAGCACACAGCAACCACCACGTAAGTAACTTGTGAATATATCTGTGTGCGCTAAGAGAAGTTAGAAATCATACAGTAAGTGAAGTCAACTTACTAAACCCACCTACTTAGAAGACTGAGACAATGAATATATGCCATTCTATCTGTTTTCAGAGCAAACTCACCGCTGGTGAAACTATACTGAGAACAATGCTTAACTTGCGCGTTAAGTACTATGCAAGAGAAGTCATCAGATGAACTTTTGAAGAGAAAAAGTATGTGTGGGTTGGGTGTTTTTTATACAAGGTCCTCCGTTGGGCATGCAAAAAGCTATAGAAAAAAGGTTAAAGAACACTAAGGGAAACTGTACATCGCATGGTACGATTTTTAGGATGCAAATGGATTTGTGATACGGCAACGGATTTTGTGCACTAGCAACCTTGACCAGTCCGTTTTGATGCGAGAAGATTGATTCCAGCTGGCTCTGACCACGATGAAGACCGGAAGCAACTTAGACGCAAGTGAGCGGAAGTCTTTGGAATGATCTTGAACAATGGTAAGTGACTAGGTGATATGGCTCAGAACGGATGTTAGTGCCGCATATGTATCCATACATTATCCTCATCTTAACGACTCCATACCGAAACTCACCATTTTCTCCTCCTTCCTTTCTCTTTATTAGCACTTTGTATTTCTTTTGACTGAATTTTCTTATCTTCATCTTGCACCTCATTGCCTTTTTACTTGATGTGATATGAGCTGTGCCAACTCGGACCGTTACGCAGTAATGCCTAGTCCTATGTTGATATTGATGATGATGACGAACTCAAGCAGCCCTGTAGGCGCTATGGAGAGTCGTCATGTGAACGGACAACAACTAGTGGTGTTCGCTAGGGATATCCTATCACCGTTTTCATTTAACTTCGTCATAAACGTACTAATGGACATAACCTTAGGCATGCCTGGCTTCACAAGGATTGATTTGGGATATCCAGATATCGTCCTGCTAGGTGAAGACGCCGACAAAATTAAGGGCCTTTTGGACACTGAACCCAAATCTGAGTACGTCTGGCTGGTATGCGTTCCACACTTGTCAAATGCTCCAGGAATAGTGAGCTGCATCAGCCCGATTAGGTTGGTTGCTGACGAAATCTTAGCTCGGTTACAGAAGGCCTACTTGACATTTGTCAATTTGCAGTCATTTTTGACACTGGCTGGCGAGATATCCGATTAAGTATTAAAGGGTGAGTATACAGTTGTGCAGTTCGTTCTATTGAGACCGCTGTTAAAGACAGATTTGAAAAAATCACAGGTTTTCGACTATAGGCATTTTCGCAACATTGCTTGTGCATGGTGAAACCGCCGAGTGATCGATGTTGAAGCTGGGTGAAGGATATTAGATAAGATAGGTATGCCCATGAATGAGGTCGTGAACCTTATCAGACTGAGATGGCTTGGACATGCACTGCGCATGCTAAGTCACAACCTACCTCGATGTGCGATGTTAAGGGAAGTTGAATAAGGTTGGAAGAGGGTTTAGGGTAGCCGGACCAAGACCTGGCACCAACCGATAGTCTGTTGGTATGAGTCATGTGGGGCAATGCACACTGCCTGGCTGGGGTCTCCGAGGTGAAAATCAGTGATTGAGGACTCTTGGTGACATGGCTGAAAACCGATCATAGTGACGGAGACGTTTTCACTGCATGACAGCCTCTAGAGTCTGAATATCCACACTAACCTTCATCTTGTTTCTCCTTTCACACAACTTTATCTTCTTTGATATTACTCTTTTTCTATCCACCTGTTGCTTAAGCACTACTAAGAAATGTGGCAACTCGAGTCAATGCACCTATGTGCGAGGTTCTATGTTGGTTTTGTCAGCCAGTTAGTAACAATGGGCGGATTTGGCGTACACCACTAGTTGTCGTCAACTCACATGACAGCTCTCCATAAGCCCTGACAGCTACGCGAGTTCGAGTAGTGAGCTTTGATTAGCGTTATGTACCTGCTCGATTCTCCTTTCAGTCAGACACTCAGACAACAACCCACAATCGACAGTCAAATGCCACCTTCAGGTCAAGAAATATGACCCCCAAGTGTGTCTGTTTCAGAACCTGTCAGAGGGTGAAAAAATTTGACAATGCATCCTCGACCAGTTTTGAAACCTGGTTTTTTCCAGTTAACTGTTTTCGAACTTCAGTTAGCATGGATGCAGTGTTAGCTATGCTGGTTCACCTATGGTAGCCACATGGAGACTCCTTTCTATTCTTATAGACTGGGACGATCAGTTAAGTAGACCAGCCTGACGAGACTACGGGTCTCTATACACTTAGTACCTCCGTTACTATACTCAGTATTCCCCCACCTTAATCCTCAAAAACTTCTGGTGGCAAAATGTCAGGTCCAACTGCTGTACATGGTTTCAGGTTCAATACAGCCTTCTCAAATTTCAGGACCGATAACCACGTCCCACTTATGCCCGGGCTGGACATCCAAAGTGTTTCTGTGGGCCAGTTCAACTGGCTCAACCAACATTTTAGCTGTCTGTCCCGGTAAATTATCAGGATCCCATCTTTTCAGGTAATTTTTCACTAACCATTGTCGCCTTCTTGCTGGTATTATTTATGAGCCTGAAACATTTCTGTGTATTGCCTAATACTGATCCCCTCTTCATTTTTCTCACTTTCGATACCCACCACTGGTCGCCATTATTTTGAAGACTTTTGGTTGATTTGCGTTGCTTTCACCTTTTATCGTGGTTACAGCCAGCTAAAATTAATCTTCTCGCATCAATCAATACGGATGATGTTGTGGAAATCTACTGACGTTTGCTAACCATCGGATGTAGGCTATCAACTGTCCTTAACGCTGTTTCTACAGCAGATTTAATGTCACGCCAAAATAGGTTTCCTCGGGATGAGCGTTGCTATCATGCTCAGATAAATGCTTAGCTAACTCCTCTCTAAATGCGTACTTGGCGTCATCTACCAATCGAGCAATGCCTAACTGCCACCTGCGGCCAGTAAGACGCAGATATACATGAGAAAGTACTAATACATGATCGGAGTCTAAACTGGTGATTCATAAAGAGCGGCAATCAACATTGATCCTATCTAACAATGGCTTATGGCAATGTCATCTATATGTGTCAATCGTGGTTTGAAGTAGGCGGACGCCATATGAGACAGTCTCTCTCCTTATACCTGAAGTTAGTGCTGGTCAGAAACAAGTTACTGCTAAAACTTCGCCACAGACAATCACCGTTGTCGGTTCGTCAGCACGAGATTTGGTAAATAATCTCAAGATGCCTTTCCGATTGGCTCATCTTCCTCACCTGAGCGTTAAGGTTACCTGTAGTGAATACATCTGAACCTTTCGCATTCTAAAGCAAGGTCGACACTTCACAGAATTCCTCCTTTGCATTATCCGGACTTCAAGCAGTGGGTGGGTAGATTGCGACTACGAATGGGCATCACCTAGTCTCACGATCCTTCCTAGTCCTTACAGATCTATTTAGCTGAGCAGCACAGACGGCTGTTTATTGGTATCCAGTCAAGAAGCACACTTTCTGCCTTTTGGTTTAATGTTATGCCAGCACCAGCGAGTTCATGAGAGCTAGCCATTGGGTCTCTGGATACCCTAAAGTTGAACTCTGAAGATTTATTACTCTGGTAATGAGGTGAAATTACTTTCAAGTCCAGTATACGTGTCTCCAACCTGGCCTGGTTAACTAGTCCACTAGTTACTAGCCGGTCCTAAGCCCACATAAAGAGGGAAGGTTGGGCATACGGCTAGCAACCCTACCCCGTAAAACAAATCTAACCGCCAAAAAAACTTCAAAACACAAACAAAATATAAAAAATAATAACAAAATTATTCCTCGCTGGAATCGGAGAGGCGAAATGACGCCAGTTGGTGAAAGTCTGACTTCGGGAAGCCAATTAGCCGGACCGATGTGTCTTCTCTCTCTCGATGAAAGCGAAAGTAAACATGGGGACATGGAATGTCCGCACAATGTTTGAACCCAGCAAGGCAGCCCAGATTGCAAACGAGATGAGAAGGTATCACATCGAAGTGCTCGGAATTTGCGAAAGCAGATGGAATGGGAGTGGACGCTACAAACTGTCAACTGGAGAATCAATAATCTACTCCGGTCACCCAGACGACAACCACGAGCACACTGAGTAATGGGAGTGGCTATCATGTCCCCAACAGCATCGAAGGCTCTCACGCAGTGGGAACCAATCTCCTCCACGATCATGACAGCAAGGTTCAACTCAAAAGGAAGGAAAGTCACAATCATACAATGCTACGCCACGCACCCACAAATAATGCAGATGAAGAGAAGAAGAAGAAGAAGGAATTCTATAGAAAACTGCAACCAGTACTGGACAAGACCCCACCTCAGTTGGTGACATCAAAATCTTAATAGGCAACATTAATGCCAAACTGGGAGTGGACAACACAGGAAGAGAACTAACCATGGGTCGAGAAGCGGTCGGTGAGGTGATGAACGAGAATGGAGAATTGTTTGCAGAATTCTGTGCATTCAATGGTCTGGTGATTAGAGGCGAGGCAGTGTGTTCAAGCACAAGGATATCCACAAAGCGACATGGATTTCACCAGACACCAGGACACACTAAAAATCAGATCGACTTTATCTCAATGTGAAGAAAGTGGAGACGCAGTCTACTTAACACAAGGGGAGCAGATGTAGGCTCAGACCACTATCTAGTGCAAGGAACCCTCCAAATCAAGTTAAAAGCCTTCAAGGAGGCTGGTGATAGACCACAGTTCAAGTACAACACTCGGAACAGAAACCGAAGGACGAAACTACAAAGGAGATCTTCACGGCAGCCATCAAGACAAAATGGGAGATGTCGAGCAACATCCCTGAAGAAACCTGTGTGAAAGAGATGTGGAAAGAAACCTGCACAGCCGTATTAGGAAGGAAGAAGCAAGAAGACAAGGAGTGGATCTCGATGGACACATGGAAGCTGATAGATCAGGGAGAGGAGGATGGTGAAGCAGAAGATAAACCAGTGCAAGGATGCTCAACGACAAGAGGAACTGAGCACAATGTATAAAACACTAGACAAAGAAGTGAAGAAGAGTGCACGCAAAGACAAAAGACACTTCTACGAAACACTGGCAAGTGAAGCAGAACAGGCTGCAGGTAAGAGAGACCTGACAACATTGTATCAAATAACCAGGCTACTCACTATCTGGGAAGAGATCAACGCAGATGAAACCAGTAAAAGATGATGAAGGAAATTTAATTACGAAAGAGGAGAAACAAAGGAAACAATGGGCCGACCACTTCAAGAAGCTCTTGAATCGACCACCACCTGCACTTCGTCCAGAAATACCACCTGCAGCCGCTGAATTACAAGTGAACATAAATCCTCCAACAAAAGTGGAAGTCTTGAACGCCATAAAGCTACTGAAATGTGGGAAAGCAGCAGGACCAGACGGGATCCCTCCAGAAGCACTGAGAACAGATGCAGAGACAACAGCGGACATGCTCACACCACTACTGCAGAAGGTGTGGAAGGAAGAGAAGGTACCTGCCAACTGATTAGAAGAAGGGTTACCTTGTCAAACTCCCGAAGAAGGGAGACCTCGGTGTTTGCAAGAACTGGCGAGGAATCACTCTCCTGTCCCTGTCCACCCAAAGCAAAATATTTAGCCGAATCATTCTGGAGAGACTAAAGGATGTACTGGATTCAAAACTACGACCGGAACAGGCAGGCTTCAGGAAGTACAAATCATGTGCCGACCAAATTGTAACGCTACTCTAGGCATCATCATAGAACAGAGTATAGAATGGCAGTCAACTCTTCACCTTACCTCAACTTTATCGACTTTGAGAAGAACTTCGACAGCGTCGACCGACAAGTAATCCGGCAGTTGCTTCAACACTACGGAATACCACAAACCTGTATCAACTTCATTCAACAACTATATGAAGATGCCACATGCCGGCCAAGTAATTCACAATGGGAAGCTCAGTGATGCTTTAGAAGTAAAGACAGGAGTGAAACAAGGTTGCCTACTATTACCCATGATATTCCTGATTGTGGTCGACTGGATCATGCAGCAAACAGTGGGGAGCGAGAAGAGGGGGATACGCTGACTGGATTGAGGAAAAGAACCTAGAAGATTTGGATTTCACCGACGACTTGTGTCTGATGTTACACAAACTTGAAGATCTACAGGCGAAAACTAACAAGTTGATAGAAGAGGCAGCTAAGACGGGACTTCAAGTGAATATAGAGAAGACAGGTGATGAAGATACCGCACCACCACCAACAACAACAAACTCCAGTCACCATCAATGGGAGAAACTTAAAAAAAGTAACCTCCTTCACCTATCTAGGAAGCACAGTTTCAACTACAGGCGGCATAGACAAAGATGTCAAAGTCAGAATCGGAAAAGCAAGACAGGCGCTCATTAACCTGAAACCAGTGTGGAGATCTTCTGCACTCAGCATGTGGAACAAGATTGGGATTTTCAACACCAACGTCAAGTCAGTGCTTCTGTATGGTTCAGAGACTTGGCGCGTTACGAAAGGGATTTCCAATAAACTACAGACATTCATCAACGACCGCCTACGCTAGCTACTGAAGATCAGATGGCCAAAAAGAATAAGCAACAAGAAACTCTGGCCGGCCAACGAACCAACCAAGAACCCATCGCTCAACAAATATGCAGAAGGAAGTGGAGATGGATTGGGCATACACTGAGGGGGCCGACTGGGGACATCACACGCCAGTGAGGCCCTCGAGTGGAACCCCGATGGGAAGAGACGGGCTGGGCGTCCGAGGCGAGGGTGACATGGAGGAGATTGTGCGAGGAGGAAATGTGAACTTGTGGGCTGTCGTCGAGCCAGGTTCAGAAGATTTCAGAGAACAGAGCGCATTGGAGACGTGCTACTGAAGCCCTATGTCCCATTAGGAACCTTAGGGACAAATAATAATAATACGTGTCTCCAAAACACAGCATACATTCATGGCTAGAGATTCCAGATTTTGGTACACAATGTTTCTATCTCCTATGGCATAGAGTTCGGACGTTGAAAGCTTCCACAGGAAGTCGATAACAGAGTCTTAGGAGACTAGAAATAAGGTTTCAAAGGCCTTAGTCGTTGGCAATGGTAGGCGAACGAGAGGCTAAGGAACTCATAAAAGGCCTAATATCAATATCAAGAAGGAGAAAGAGGTAAGAATGGTAGATTGTGTGATTGGATTTTTTATAAAACCGGTGTGCAAGTGGCTGAAAATTCCTGATTGCCCACGCTGCCGAGATTGTTTCCACAGGGTACCTGGAAAAGATTTGTGGGACGGCAGAGCTCATAGACATCTGCATCAGGTCTATCACAACCTCTTTAGAATTGTTGTTTTGAGATTCGGTTTTTGTAGCCCCAGATGCGCGAAACTGATACCGCAACGCTAGCAGAAGTTGAATTAGGTTGTTAGGAGACATAGCATCAGTTCACGAAATTTTCGACTGCTGATGGTGTTTAGCCATCACTAACCTCATTAGATAGACCGTGCCATAGTGCAACCATCAGTTATGGATCATTGAACTTGACTGTTAACCACTGGGCCACAAGTTCAAATGCATCTCTATCTATCGAGATTTTGATAACCAGGTATCATCAGTAGCCATCACACAGACGTCGCTTATTGCCTACTGCACGAACGTGTATGTGAATGCTGAGAGTATTTCAACTTCTCCGATCAATAGTTTACCAGTTAGGCACGGCATTAGGGAAAAAAAGTTGCGCTCTTGAACAGTCATCCATCCAGATGGCCAGGGCACATGTTGCGCATGCCTAGTCACTGTCTGCCTCACAGCACAATTTCGGCTGAAACAGGATTAGACTGCAAAGATCAGTGGTAGTTAAATTAAAAAGTGGGGGGTTATATAGTCTCCTACTTGTCTGAGCCGTGTAAGACAGTGTCGGTTTTTCTGCTGAGGTGAGCATCATAACTGAAACCGGTGGTCGGAAACAAGAGGGTATTAGTCAGGAACAAACTAAGTGACGTACATAAATTCCACCATTGCCTGCACCTAAACAGCTGAATCCCACTCCTTTCGTTTCTCTTTCACGGTTTCCCAATGCTTTCAGTAGTTTCTCTGTCTTCACCCATCATCCTCATACGCTGATGTGAGATGAGTTGGGACGTAGCGCAGAAGTGCCAGCGTGATGTCTTGGCGTAACAGACTGGATTGAATAAACCACATGCCACTCTGGACAGTTAGGTGCAGAATAATGGACACCTGCTCAAAAATGTCAAAGCATCCAAGGAAAGAGCTCCACTAAACATGACAGTAGTAAATTTTACCAAAAGACCCATGGTTATGCGACCCTACATAAACAACTAAGCAAACTGTTGTGCAAATAATAAGTGCATTGCATCGATGTTGAAATCATCACCTGAATGGTCGAAAATGCAATATTTCAGTTGTTTTGCAATTTATAGGATATGGAATTTAAAATAAACTTTAGAATTATCAAATATCATGTGCCTGACGCTCTTCAATGGTTAAATTTTATCTTGAGAACAAACAGTTTCACAAAAGAATACTAAGATCCATACTGTTGCAAAATATCTCAACTTACTGTCATAACCTCCACGTCTTGAATTTGTTTCACGCCGTCTTGACGTTAGAATCCAAGCCACAATTTTCAATGCGAGAATGTAATTTGTGAAAATGAAAAGACGCGTTAATGAAACATAAATTAAACCTAAATAATAAATGTCCATAAAGCTTTACCTGAGTGTCCTAAAAAATGAAGTGGGTTAAATCATATGCCATTAAACATTAACTTTATGTCAGGAAAGGAAGACTTATAAAACCCCAACATAAACTGAAGCCAAATTCAACTTACAAAATGCATACAATATCCGATGTACACAAAAACACTCAGAGACTTAGTTTCATGTGCCTAATATTACAACTTATGTTGGCAAACACACGTCCAAAAATATTGAATCTAGTCTCAATTGTTGATGGAGGCCACATGTGGCTATGGTACAAGCAAGCTGCTAGTGTGAAAAGTGAACAAAAGGTTTTCAAGAGTTCATGTGAAGCATGATAAAAACCATAGGTTAACTAGATGTGAAACAACAGTCAATAAACAACCAATATATAAATTAGCACAAATTTTCCATTCTTGTGTCCACTGTTCAATAACACCTAACCTCGGAGAATGTGAAATCCGTCGAGTTGTGTCAAACCGTGGGGACTCCGCTTCTGAATAACCATCATCTCTTCGGTGCCTTGGATTACGTTCACGAGCATAACTGTAGGATGCACTGTCGCTGGTAGAACATGAACGACTTCTTTTAGTTTGAGCATCTACAGGCACGTTATTTACCACAGGATTGATCGCTATTCCAGAACGAGTTACCATGGCCGGATTAGTCAGGCTACGAGCTTGTTGCAATGCCTGTGTAAGCACAGCACCCGCAGCAGCACTTGCTGCTGATCCAGAAATACGAAGTTGCTGCTGCTGGAGAAACGGAAATAGAGTAGCATTAGAATTCGATCCACTTAAACGTGATAAAGAACCGCTAGAAGTCGGGAAGTTTGGAAATATATTAGCAAGGGCGGGCGGTTGTATAGGTAATCTGGAACTCATTGTGGAATTGAGATTAGATGTCCCAGTACGAGCAAGAGAGCTGACAGACTGTGCGCCTGAAGATTTGATTGCTGCCATAGCTGCGGCTGCAGCCATGGCTGCGGCAGCTGCGTTTACTTGCAACAACGGTGCAGCTCCTGATGATGACAGTCGTGAGCCATCTGCATTAAGTAAGGGCGTCATAGCAGGGAAATTCATTAACTTCTTCTCTCTGTGGACGTAAAATACCGTTGATTAGCTCCGTTTGCATCTCCTAGTAATCCAATATTAACTTGACCACTCAAACCACCAACACGTGAAACCATTGTGACTGACATGGCCAACACGACCAACAACTTTTCCAAGTCTTTCGAATGCGTTACGACGACTAATCCTTTCACCAATCGCCTGTACAGTGTTCTCTTGTTTCACCTCATCTTCAGATTCATCGAGGAACAATCGACAGAGTGCTTCACCACATGTAGGCTCAATCTCCTAGGAAGAAATCGATTGATATTTTACACTTACCTGACCATCTCTTCCAATTTTTACTGGTTTGTCTTCGTTCCAAGCATTTAAAGGTGTCCAGTCTTTGTGAAAGGGAGATCAGACTAAGTATAAGCGCAACCAAATAAAACGAACCTACTTGGATATCCACTTAATTCGGAAAGGATTGCTTAGTAGTCCAGTATTCATCCGCGACGATAGCACCAATCGACCTTGATTCTTGGGTCTGAAGACGCAACAATGCGAGCGAATCCTTGGAAACGACCACTTTCACGGACAGAGAAGATTAGCAAGACATTGGAATAATCGAAGAAAGCTTATTGAGTCGTGCTTCGTTGCCCTTCGTAGTGGCCCAAACATTGCGAGATTTTGCTATTTCGACGTTTTCGAAATTGTTACTCTTAATCATAAAATATTTTGCGGATCGGAAAAGATATTGCGAATCCGGTACTGGATTCTCTCTGTGTGGGAAATGAGCACGCCTTTGACAATATTAGATCGGAGGGCAATTTTCTGAGCTTCTTCTTCTTTCAAAAACTCATCACCTGGAGCATCAACATGAAGCTCATCTCTGTTCTCACTTTCTTCATCAGAAACCCTGTCCCATTCTATCGGCGAAATAGCCTTCTTGTTTTCCTCCAGAAACAGCAGGAGTTACAACTTCGAATGGGTCAACATCCTCTACAGTCATGGATGACTGCTTGGTAACTTTACGGCTCGTCATAGTATTTTCAACATTCTCAGAAAAGTCAACATTCCCTCCTCAGGATCATTGATACACTCAACAGCAGTATGAAATTCATTTAAACTAGTTGTTTCATTAGAATTCGCTTCGTAAGACAGATCGTGGTTGTGATCATGAGTCTCATCTGATCTACCTAACAACTCATCTTCCTCCTGATCCCTTGACCTGTTATCCCAACCCAACTGTTCTGATTCGCCTAAGACAACATCCGTAGCTACTTCATTTTTGTCTGGATTAATCATATATTTTCACAATTTTTTTCACAAACCTGAATTATCCAACTTAGAGTCAAGATCATCCGAAATCCTGTTACTCATCATCTCCCGCCAAAATTTGGATAAATGTCTATTGGACAATCTTCGTGAAATGGCGAAGTTGAAGTTACCCTTTACTTTAAGAATAAGACAGATCACAAATTATATCCGCAAAAGCAGTTTAAAACTATATCCTCCTTTTTCTGCATACAGGACCGAATAGGGAGTTGTGTTGCAGACATGACGGTTTCTACAAATCCAATATTTTATACTACGTAGTGTAAACCAATTGATTTCTTCTTGCTCGCTTCTAGGTCTTGCGGAATGGTTGCAGGTCTCTGGTGGATTCTCATGAAGTACGTCTAACCCCTCATCTGCCGTTACTCTGGTTAGCCTGACCGGCGTTAAGTGCTGATTAAATTTAAAGGTATTGTATGATTTGGCCAATGACAATGTTGCAGACGGGTTCCTCAAGCGTCATGTCACCAGATATTTGTACTCAGTGGTTTTAAAAGGAAGATGGAAAGGGATAAAAGATGTTTAGCGAAATCAGGTGGCAGGAAGTAAGAAAATAAGGTGAAAAGAAGCGTAACGGAAAGGAATTAGAAACCCAGGTGGATTGAAAGAAGACAATCGTGATAAGGAGAACTAAACAAATGGGGTAACATCACAGAGTCAGAGGCAAGAGAAGGAGCACTTAGGATTATTGACGGACTATGGAGTAGAAATAGTAGTTTTGTTAGTGGAAGTATGGTAGCTGGAGACGTCTAACACAGAAACTTAAAGTTAGCGATACTAGTGGCAGTACAAAAGATTCGTTACAGCGCTGATTGTGTGGCACTGTGAGATATCAGTTGGTTGTGTTGGCCTGCTCCGTCTTGGCTGGATGAACGCAAGCTTCCCTTTGATGCGTATCTGCGTAACCTCTTCTTGAAGCTGTCGACGGACTGGGCAGGCAATGATCCCACAGGCCGTGAACTAGCAGAGGGAAAGAGTGATAACGCACTCATGTTTTCTGCCTTTGATGTCCAATTCTTTTTGGTCACTGCGGGGATTCCCACAGTAGTCACTCGGTGGGATTCCAATGTTTGGGTGACTTTGATTACTCCGTATTTTGTAAGCCGTTATCAAGTCGCCATGTAGCCCTTGAAAGGTAAGCCCTCGATCGTTCAGCCTACAGTAACTGGGTTTCCACCGCATTCGAACAATACCCTTTCGTTGCCTCCTTCTGAACTTCCTCCAGGATGTTCACATCTCTTTTCACGTGTGGCGGTGCAATGACGTCGTGGACCTCTAAGTGAGATCATACGTTGGTCTGGTAAGGCCTAAGGAAGAGTTCCAGTCCGGTGGCACCTGGTTGTCTGCACACGAAGCGCAGTGCTGAGTAGACTCTGGAGGTACCTCTTGGATACTGGAGCAGGCGTCCGGCCTGTCAGTAGGTATCAGTCGTAGGTCTTCCCCCCTGATGGTGTGGGAAAGTCGCTTACCATAGTATGATACTTATTGCGAGTATGAGATGTGCAAAAACATGGTAGGCATTTATCCAGGTTGAATGCTATCTCGTTACTGCTCACCCACTCTGCAGGCAATCTGAAATCACCTTCGAAAGTAGCAGTTTCCCATAGATTAGCATCGTCAGCATAAAGTAGAGTTGGGACGCTGAGACTCGGCGGTGGGTCATTCATAAGAAGAAAGAACAGCAGCTGCCCCAGGGTCGCACCTTGAGATACACTGGATGATGATATCCCTCAAATCGGGTAGACCCAGTTGACTTATGTGCAGTATTCTCTACAGTCTGAATAGTCCTGCAGCCAGGAAAGCACCTTACCATTGACACCCGGCCCAGGCATATTTTGCTTATTAGAGTGGCAAATGAGACTGTGTCAAATGCCTTGATACAATCCACGAAAATCACGTGAACAGGGACCTGTAGGTCCTAGCACGACATCCAGTTATCAGCGGCCATCGGAGGGTTTGAGGTGCAGGGGGTAATCCTTTGGAAAACGTATTGAGCGTCACTTAATGTCCCCTTTTGTCCAAGTACTCTCTAAAATGGTGGTCTACCAGTCCCTACATTACTTTCGGTGGCACTGATAGAAGTGCTGTGTGTTGATTGCACTTCGGGTTCCTCCTGCTCCCCCTCTTGAAGATGGGAGGCAGCAGCACATGTCCACCTTCTCAGAAGCATGTGTTTGTCTAGCGAGTGTTAAAACAGATCGCAGAGCGGGCTACACAAGGCTTATGAACATTGTTTCAAAACAGATGGCTGAATGGCACCATAGCCAGGTGATTTTCTAGTACGAAGCTTTGACAGTTTTTCGAAGACCGTGGCAGGGGCCGCCTTTATACCATGCAGTTCTTCTACATTAGGTAGTACCGAAGGTTGCTCAGGCAGTTGATAGTTTCGGTTAGATGTTCGAATGTTTGGTGCAGTCCAGAGGCGTTCCGGCCTTTCAGGCCATTCATAACACCAGTTCCTCGAATGGTAGGCTTCCTCTTCACCATGAATCGACGTTGGTTTTTGGGGTTCGCCCCACTCCTCTGGATAAGGTTTGTCTGAAGCGGCTTCCGGCGGGTGTCACCGCCAAAACTTTCATGAGGCCCAGCCTTTTCGATGGTACTGAGCAGATTTCGGTCGGACGTCCAACCTCAAACTGCTCTGTCTTGCCCAAGACTGCGAGTTGGGGCATCAAAATCTCCTCGCCATGGTGACCTAGTAAATCCCACAGCCATCACCACAGATATTACCTGGGGCGGTTGTAACTTCGCTCCCACATTGCTGGTGGGGGTCCAACAAACCCCCTCCACCATACACTTATGACGTGTGGTCGTGAAGTAGCGCCAGATGATGTTTGGGGACCCTGATAGTAGGGTTTCGGCAGCTCGTTAGCTTTTGAGATGGTCACTCATAGACACAGTCACCTCAGCTTCTTTTGTGGGCCTCCCGTCTCTCCTGAACAGATGCATGCCATCTGTAACAGCTTCAATTTCGCTAATATCCAGGGATAAATAGGTTTCTATCAGGATCATAATCTTTGAAAAAAGATAGGATGAGACAGGTCATAGTTCTACCGTCTCATATCTAAGTCCACCCACCCTTCTGTAAAGACACTTTTAGTTGTTTCTCCCAGCATGGGGTGTTTAGTGTTGGAAGACTGCAGGGGGTCATGTGCCCTGCTGTAGCCAACCAGTTACAACGGAGTCGGCCAAGTCAGGTTTTTTCTCGTGGCGGTTTCCGTAGATATTGTCGAGCCAAGATCAGCTTGGACGTCTTGTTTATTCACACCAATGGTGATCTCAGCAGAGGGACTGTCCCCAGCCGTTGTCGCGGTTCTCTAGGTCTGCTTTTGCGACAGCGAACGTTCCAGCTGACGTCGTCTTTGACTGCGCACCATGTGTACTTTGGATAGAAGCCCTAGGCATCCGAAGTTAACGTCCATGAGCCTAGGCGATGCCACTGTTGTTAGATGCATGGGACGTGACAGCCTGTAGACTGTTTCCTGCATCGTTCCGCTTGACCCCCTACATACAGCTACTGTTCAACATAATGAGTACACTTTTCCGCTAGTGTGCTGGATGTTAGCTCCGGTATACCGTTGTCGATCACGGTTGTTGGTTTCAAAGCGTGGGTCACTTCTTGAGATATTTTTCTCGCCGGCCGTGGCCTACCCGACCTGGCTCTGATGCTGAATGGCCGAATGGTGACCGTGTGGATTAGAGCACGAGGGATCTTTCGGTCTCCTTAGCCGAGCTTAAGGTCATTCTGATCGGCGGGGCTTTCCTAGAGATGAATGACTATCTTTGTAGAACCGGGATGGTTTTGCCATTAGATCGCCCAATCCTAGTGTGCAAGATGCCGTTTGTCACTGCTCTTTGTCGAAGGATTAACGTTTCACAAGAAGACTGTCATGCTGTACATGAACACTAAGTAAGATGGTGGAGCTTGAACCACAGTCGACATTCCTGTTATCATGTACAACTAGAGTCCAACGCCAATTTTATGATAAAACATACGCCATTGATCGCGATTCCCATTTCCTCTTCGGAAACTTGAAAGGACAAAGATTCTGATTACTGTTCACTTCAGCTTTTCTCCAAGAGCGCATAGAAGCTAGGTTTCGAACACTGCAGGCAAGATATCAAGCATGGTTCCCACTCTACCATGGTTTCTGGGTCTTAGAATACTTTTCCTGTAAAGCCGGTTTGGGCTTCTTCGTCAGAATCTTCACAATTCAGACTGGACATCAAACTACTATGCAGTGTGTGTTCATTGACAGGTCAGTTGCCGTAGCCATGTAACCACCTGTCCACCCTTTTGGTTGCACTTTACATTTATTAACAACTACTGAACAGGGAACTGGTTTAGCGAGTGCTTGTTTCCTAAGTAACTACCCTAGAGCACTGGACACCTCGTTTGCCATGGTCCATGGGATGACAGGGGGCTTCTCGAGGCTTTATTTGGGTGCCCAGCCTACTTCTGTGAGCCTGAAGTTAGGGGACCTTAGCAACTTCCACAGGCCGGTAACTTTTCATCTTAGATTTTCAACCAACAACGAGTTGCTACGGATCTCCATACTCCCTCACCTACCGCTACTTTATTATACCTCTCAAATGCGGTTTCATGTGCAACGAGTTAGAGGTAATATGACACACTATGGTCACACCCCCCTCCCCCAACCAACCGTATCGCATACGCTGCAACCTAAGAGCACCTGAGTGACTGACGTAGCGTTTTCATCGTAGTTCAACCGCTATCTTCATAGCTTCACTCCGAAACGGATCAAGAATGTGATGTCTATTTTGAACTGAGAAATAGCTAATGATTTATCCTCGGGATTTAAGCCAGCATGTGGTTCACAGGCTGTTGTGAATAAGCCATTTATCAATCCCTCCAAATTCAATAAAGAATGTTAGAAGACCATGAGGTCATTCACGGCAAAGCGACAACAAGTAGGAGCAGAACAAATATCACTAAGGTTAACCAAAGGGGCCTTTTTAGAGTGAGGAATATTTATTTCAACTGGGGAGCAAGGAGAAGAGCTAGATCTGTTGCTACTTTCAATATCCTACACAC